GTACAGATTAACTATTAACTTAGCCAAAAATATTATAAAATTACAGTGAAAATAAAAAAGAAGGAGAAAGGCATGTCAGTTTGTGTGCATGTGGCCTTGGTTTTGGCGAAGGGTTGGGTTTGGTAAGACATCTAAATTATCATCTTCCACAGTCATTACATAGAAAACTAATAAATAATATCTAAACTTGAAAAATAAAATCAAGATATTTATTTTATTAATTTTGAGATGTCAATTAAAGGGATCACTATTATTTTATGTACCTTTAAAAATAAAAGTTTTTTAAGTGCCAATTAAACCATGACATGCCATCGCTTGTAAGAACCAAGTACCTCAAAGGTATTAAAATGGGGTGGGGGGTAGTCTTAGAAAGGTAGCAGTGCATTCCATGGGAAATAACATAAATTAGTTCAAATCAGTTACTTCTGGGGAGCAGGAATTGAGGTAGAGAGGAATAGAACAGGGGGTTACAATTTTTGTTTTAATCCTTGTTGAACTGGTTAACTTTTAAAAATATTATGCTTATAACTTTGATTAAAAAGTAAATTTAAAATAAATAAGAAAATAGTATGTATCACAAGATCAAATTAAAAAATATTTCACTGCTCCAATGTCCATGATGCTGGCTGAAATATCATTTTTTATTCTTTTTTTTCCTTTTTATTTTATCATATTATGGGGGTACAAATATCATTAAGGTTACATATATTGCCCCTGCCATCCCTCGCCTCCCCACACCCGCTGTGTCAGAGCTTCAAGGGTGTCCATTCTCCAGGTGGTGCACATCACACTCATTGTGTAAGTATACACCCATCCCCTCCTCCCCCTCCCCCCGCCTGCCACCCGATAAATGTTTTGTTGTTGTTGTTGCTGTCTTGTTATGTTTTTTGTTTTTTTGACATTTTGGTTGCATTTTATATCTTTGCTTCTCACCTAGAAGGGTTAGAGGTAAGCCCTCCCCCTCCACAGTGCTCGCCATATCCCTAAGATGTGGGTCTCCCCCCACCCCCGAATCCCTGAAATACCATTTAATGAAACTACTTAGCATAAAAACATTTTGCAATTCTCATTATTTTACTACCCAAAATCACCTACAAACTGATGAGAAAAGCAATGAAACAATCCAAAACCACTCTAAAGTTACTATCCTCATCTTCTCCTCTCTTCTGTCAAATGAAACAAAATCCAAAATGCAATTGCTTATTTGATTCTTTAAATAGTTATTTGCCTGTGTTTCTGAGATGTTGGATTCTCTTGCCTGATTCTTAATTACTAGGGGCTGTTTTATTTAACTAAAATGGAGCAGGCTCATTTCTGGGCTCCTTTGCTTAAAAAAAAGCATCATTTTATAAGTGAAGCATATCGACATGTGGGTCATCAGTGTCAGGGGGTAATCACAGGTATTAGCTAATCAGGCACTTGCTCCACTGCTCATCGCCAACCTCAGATGGATTCGGAATGTGCATACAAACAACAAGTAATTTTTAAAAGAGTACTTTATTCTTATTAGATCTCAGTTCTTCTCCCCTAGGAAAAGATATTTGTTATGGCCTCCCCAGATACATTTAAAAATGTGAACATTCTTCAGTTTCCTCGTGGGTTTGGAAGTAGTACTAGGTCCATCATCATTAATTTGTCTCTAACTAATGAAAAGAGTCTGGACATTGGAATGAGTTCAGAGTTTCAGCTGGAATTAGTTCACAATGCTCCACAACACACACACTTGCAAATACACCTACATGCACACACAGAAACACACATGCTAGATGGTACCAGTAGAGGCTATGAAAGACTGTGAACGGTCTCAAGTTGTACCCTACTAGCAGGAGAATGTTAGCCTGCCACAGTTTGGTGCATACTGGCGGAAGACATGAGACTCGGTTAGAGACAAAGGACTTTACTGCTCACTGCAATAGCAGCAGCCAGAATATCAGCATTTGCACCCAAGGCCCCATTCCCACAATGACAAGGGAAGGCTAGGTGATATACACAGTGGTCTGTGATTCAGGGAAAGAGCCTTAAGCTCAGGGAACCCAAATTTTTTTCAAATATTTTTATTGTGGTAAAGTATACATTACATAAAATTTACCATTTTAACCACTCTTACGTGTATAATTCAGTGGCATCAAATCTTTTACAATGCGTAAGTAGTAAACCTGCTGAGCCTTTGTATCATAGGGAGACATTGTCTTCATTAAACTGGACAATAAACAAACCCGGCCTTTGCCCCAGAGCAGGTTTTATCAATGTCAGCACTGACATTTTGGGCTGGATAATTTTTTATCTTTTTATCTACAATTTTTTGTTGTGAGGATTGTCATGTGTGTTACAAGTTATTTAGCAGGTCCCTGGCCACCACCCACTAGATGCCAGGGAGTGGGATGCTACCCACTCCCCTAGTTACGACAACCTTAAGTGTCCCAGAAATTGCCAGATATCCCCTTGGAGGCAAAACCTCCTCCATTTGAGACTGATGGCTCAAGACAAAGTCACGCTCTGTCTTTCAAGGCCATTCACTACACAAACATCCTTGGAAAGGTAATCCAGAACAAAGGCGTGCCTCTGCTCACAAGTTGTGCAGAAAGACAAGAGATCCATGAAGACCTACCTTCCAAGAGAGGCCATGATGTTGACTTCTAAACCTTGATCCGCTTTTCAGGAATAGATTACTTCCCAATTTGTACATGATGTTTACATAGAAACACACCCCACACACCCTTCTGGAGGCCCTTTGACTAACATTACAACATAGACCACTTACATGATAGGAAACCAGTCCAAAGAAGTTAGCTAAGGGCATGCAAGACAGTGGAGGTAAATATTTTTCATAGCTGAGTCAAGTAGTATACGATGACTACTACATTTCCTTTCTTATTAAGGAATTTTTTTCTCCCCTGAGTTAATAATTGGCTTTTTTTTTTCATTTAATATTCTGCCCCCCCCCATCACTCCTCTGCTTTGAAGTTAGAGAGACAGATTGCACTTAAGTCCTACTTCCTCCACTTAAGGGTTCAACCTCCAGCAAGTTATATATTTCATAAATATAAAATGGGGATGGTTAAGACCCATCTTACAGGGTTGTCTTCACAATTATATGAGATAAAAATGCCTAGTCCAGTGCCTGGCACTCAGTAGCTACTGTTTAACTCACATCACCACTGGGGCATGTCCTCAAATGGTTCTTACTATAATACAGCTAATGGCCTTAAACTAATTTCTCCACACTCAGTTTTTTATGGTATTGATAACATAGTTGCTTAGAATGTACAGCAAAAATCACCAGACCACAGAGAGAATGGGTCTAAGACCTGACTTTGTAAGCACCTCATATTGATCAAATGAATTACTAGACAATCTCAATGCTACAACTAAAAGAGTCAAAAGAAGAAAGTAATTCTGACCTTTCATTATCTGGCTTGATTCCTTTCAGGTTGACATCAATTTGTTGATATTACCCAGGCTTTAGCAACTGTTTGTCAGTATCTCTTTGCATCCTTGCATTTTCATAAGCTAGCACTCACAAGTCCAATAAGAAATCAAGCTCTGCAAACACGTACCTAAGGTTGCTCAAGTATTATCAGAGATCAATTCTCCCTCCCAACTCTCCCTGCCTTATGATCATCAAACTTACAAGTAAATAAATATCTCTTATGGATTTGTCATTTAATAAGTGATTAACAGAGAGATTTCTCTTTTGCTAATAATGCTATGATTTTCTCTTAATATGGCATTTTGACTTTAGAATATAAATTAGTCTTGGTTTCTGCAGCTATTCGGTTTTATATATACATGATGATTACTCTTCTTTGTCTTAAAGTATAATATTTAATTATAGCTTCACAGAAGACTTAAAATTCTATTTTCCTTCAGGAAAAATACCTGTAACTGTAGTTTATGAAAAATTATTAGTTATAGCTAATCCTGGATAGTAAATTGGATTTTTGAAATCTGCGTGATTTTTAGCACGTTAGGCTTTTCATCAGGAAGGCAATACTTGCAGAAAATGCCTGTGGAATAATCAAGCAGCAATTTCACTGCTGCACTGTTAAGACAAATACAATTGAGAAGATCATCTATGGAATTTGCCAGATTGTGAAATTTGCTTTTAGAAAAGGAAATATCACATAATGGTCAGAGGACAAGTGGCGATTCCTAGTGACTTCTCCCATTCCCCTGAGTCTCGAATTATCATTTCCCCCTCCTCTCTAAATTCCAACCCTCCACTTAGATCTGTAAGAAAGCTTGTTGAATTATATTTTTAGCTGCATACTAGGTACTAGAAAAAAAAAAAAAAGAAAGCTTGTTGAATTATATTTTAAAAAGCACAACTGACTTTTCTTTCTTGCATCATTTAGCCAGAATTAACATTACGGAGTCCCTTCTATAAGCACACATAAGTGTGTGTGTGTGTGTGTGTGTGTGTGTGTGTGTGTGTGTGTGTGTGTGTACACACTCACAAACACTCCTAAAAGTACAGTGGGACACTGGCCTAAGAAAGAAAATCAATACACACACAGCAAATATTTGAGTTGCATTTATATAAGCAGTTTCTTTATGAAAAACAAATTCCAACCACAACAATTTCAAGAACCCTAAAGGAGAGAATATCAGGCCATTTAAAAGAAAATGTTTTTTCCATGGAGAAGGACTTTTTTCCTAGACAAAAACCCCAAGCCGATAGTCTTTTTTTTTTTTTTATCAAACTTTCTTCATCTTATCTTATACCTAACTCCACCCCATCTTACTGTTCCATACCAGTTTTCAAAGATCTGCCATTTTCTGTATTTGAAAACAGACTCAGTTCAGATGGCTATTCTTTTTAGGAATACTAGGAAGAACTGAAGGGTGCTTTTTGTTATATTTTTAAGTTCTATCAGCCACATAGCACCAGAGGGGGTTTAACCAATATAGGTACAGGAACAGTATGTAGCTGATAACACAAACTTGAAATAAAAACGAGAATAATTGGTTTATGCATATTTTAAAGGCATGGAGAGTACCTGATCAACTGGAACCTCAACCTGAGTGTCTTCATCTTCATGGACTTCTGCTGCCCCTCGCATTTCAGACCTCTCTGCACCAGCTTTGAAAACGCCTTCATCTGTTGAGAAGAATGCACAGTGAAAATCAAGATCCAATTGTGACATCTTGTGGCTGAATGCTGAAATTACAATCACATAGCTATTGATCATTTTTTAATAGGTTTTCGGGTTTCCTTTTTAATTATAGGATTTTTGTAGTCCCATTCCCCGCCCCCTAGCTCTTCTACATTTTGATTCAGAAACGATTCAGTGGTCAGAACAAGGCTGATACCGCAGAATAAAAAGCTCTGGAGAAATTCCTGTTCACCCTTTGGCTACTGATTTAATAACAGCCTGTATAGCTATTGAGGTAGGAAGAACTTCACAACTATTATCTCAGTTCTCCCCTCCTATCCACGAAACTATGATGATTCTTGGTGCTTTAAAATCCTATTTGCAGAAATTTACCTGCCCCAAGAGAATGCTATACATTCAACATAATGTGTTGTAATAATTCTATTTAGAGTATTATTTTAAAAAATGTTTTTTAATGTAACAGAATCATAAACCTGCCTTTTCACATCTTACAAAAAGATCAATACCATTTATTATGCAGATTTCCATGAGATTTTCACAACCTATGACTTTAAATCCCTAACTATAAAATGTAACCTAAATCTCTAAGACTTTAGGTTAAGCTCGTTCAACTTGCTTTCCTCTGGAAAGCAATAATAGCTGTTTTCCATATTTGAAGTCATTTTAATGTCTCCCCTCAGCTTTCCCTTCTCCAGGCCAAGTAATCAAAGAATCACAGGACCATTTGTCATTCTGTCTATCTACTTGCCTCAAGGTAGGTTCAGCGCTTCAGCCACCCTCCCAGATGTTTTCCCTGTCCAATTTCTAAGGCTCTCCAGGGATGGAGATTTTACCTCTTTCCCTGGTAATCTATTACAGTATTTGATTACCCCTAAAGTCTAAAAATTATGTTTTTATCTTTTGTCTTAAAACCCTCTCTACTTCTCTAATGGAAGCTTATTTCCCAGAGCACAGTTATTTAACACCATTTCACATAATAATATTTTATATTGCTAAAGTTATGAAGTCACTGGTAATTAAATGTAAAATATATTTTTACATTTGTTGAGGACCAATTACGTAAGGCACAATATGAGACAATGGGACAGCCTAAGATATGAATGTGATGTGGGCTGTTCCCTCAAGTTGCCTGCAGTCCAACAAGGAGACAGAAATAAATACACTACCATTAAGGTGCACTGAGACCAGTGCTGTAGTGAGTTAGGGCCATAGCAGAGTGTCATGAAAGCTGAGAAGATACAGCCAGGTGAGAAACCAAGGAAGGAAGGAAAGAAAGGGTGGAGGTATAATTAACATTCATTTCTACCTTCTGAAATTACCTTAGAAGACAACAATCATACTCGGATGCTGGACTCAGTAGACTACAGTTATAACTTACATACATGACTTTTTTTTTTTTTTTTTTAGAGACAGAGTCTCACTCTGTTGCCCAGGCTAGAGTGAGTGCCGTGGCATCAACCTAGCTCACAACAACCTAAAACTCCTGGGCTTAAGCGATCCTTTTGCCTCAGCCTCCCTAGTAACTGGGACTATAGGCATGCACCACCATGCTCGGCTAATTTTTTCTATTTTTGATAAAGACAGGGTCTCCCTCTTGCTCTAACTCCTGAGCTCAAATGATCTGCCTGCCTTGGCCTCCCAGAATGCTAGGATTGCACAGGTGTGAGCCACCACGCCCAGCCAGTACATGACTTTTTGGGTGACATTTTTGCATCCAAATGTTGCACTTGCTTACAAAAAGACTACAAACAGAAATCTATAGATAGAAAAGGAATAGAGTCTTAATACTCTCATTCAATGAAATGTTTAACTGTATCTAAACAGAGCTATGAATTGTTTGCAGATGTGTTTTAGAATAGGCATTCCACCAGAGAAGAAGAATACAATCAATAATAACGAATAAAATAAAATGGAAAGGGCACTGGAATAGAAAATGGCAACCATGAGGATATAAATGGCAAAGAAACAAATCAGCAATTCTCAACACTGTGTACAGTGACACAGAGAGAAAATACAAAGATAAAAATGTTTGCCTTGGTGTAGGGGGACGATTTTTTTCATCAGTGAACCAAGATGTTTAAGCCATCTCCATTAGCAGCACAGAGCAAGAAATGAAGATCAGAAAGCAATTGACAGGAATAAACAGTGAACAAAGAAAAAGAGGGAGAACATCTAGAAAGTGATTTTGTGACAGGAGAAACCCTACTGGGATTTTAATTTTTACTATGAATGTTACATAAAATTAAAGGTAGAATAATAATATATTAGAGAAAAAAATATTTTAAATAGCATTTTTATTATAAATAGTCTGTATAATACATACGTATTTTAGAAAACTTGGAAGATGAAGAAAATAAATATCCTTCTAACTCATGGCCCAGAGACAGCCAACACTAATATTTTGACAACTCTTTTCCTTTCTTTCTCTGTCTCTGTCTCTATCTCCCAAAGATACACATACACACACACATTCATGTAACTGGGACCTTATTATACATACATATAATTTTTAAAGTAATTTTTTACTTTAAAACCATATCATGAACATTTCCTATGCCATTAAATATTACTTGAAAATGTAATAAACTGCTTTATGTAGTGGCCCCATACTTTAATTAATGAACAATACTGAATAATGAAAAATGAGAATTTTTTTAATGCATAGGGTAGATTGTATTCATTTGATTGGCTGATAAATAAGTATTATGACCCACAGTGTAATGGACACTCTGGGAAATAGGCAGCATCTCATGGGGAGAGATGAGAGAACCACAGGCTGTTAACGTTCCACATTCACACCCTGGAGCTCCTTTCCTGTCTTATGAGTCTTCATTTTCCAAGAGCAAGCATGGTGCACTACACACAAGTCTTCAGTTAATGTCAACTGAAATATAAGACAAAAGACAAGTGCCCTAGGTCACCCATTCCTCCTATGCTGACGCCCTCCTGCTCTATGCCCCCCACAGCCCTGTCCCTTTCCCACTCTGCCCAGTGGTTAACCCTCCCTTCCAAATCAGTCCCCTGGTCACACTGGCATCCTGGTTTCGATACAATTAACTCAAATATAGTCTCAGCCTCTTCTTTGAATGCTTCTTCTATCTCATTTGAAAGGAAACCTCATCAACCCATGTGTCTCCTCATCCTGCATCTCACCATCAGAGTAGCTTCAAAACCCAACTGACGGGCCATTCCACCCCCCTGGCTGGAATGCGATGACTCTTCACTCCATTGGTGCCCCTCAGCTCCGCCTTACCATGCATCCTTTTCCTCACACGGAGTGATTTCAATAGCATCCCGTGTGCAGTCAGGACCAAAGACCTTGTAGGTCATGGTACTGCTGTGCTATCTCATGTCCCATTCCACCACTTCTGCTCTGTCCTGGCTGGCCACCCACTGGGGGTTGTGCTCATGGTTCAAGTGCTATTCAGCTGTCAATGTCTCTATAAAAAGTGCCTCCAGTCTTATCCCCTAACCCCCCAACCAAACAGAACCCACAACTTCCTCCTATGCACTACTCCTCCATCTCACATACTTCATCTATTCATGAGTTATGCTTAACTTTATCAATTTCTTTTACCAATCCTGTCCCTTTTCCTGCTAGACCATAAGCTCCTTCAGACATAGACCACAATTTTTGTCTTTGTAAGTCATCTTACTAGCACAATGTCAGCCTCATAACAGGTTTTGAGATGTTTGTCAAACTGAACTAACAATACAAAGCATTATATAAACACGAAACTTTTGGCATTGTCTAGAAGTATTATTTGTAAGAAATTGTTTGTGTATATACTTCATCCAGAGCCAAGATCAGTGGGCCAATGTGAATGTTCAAAAGTAAATCAGGCCTTAAATCAGAAAATTGAAATCATTTGACACCAAAGAATTGCCAACGAGGCCAAACTACAAGAGAAAAGAATTTGAATGATATAATAAGAATATGTTCTTCTTCTGACAATGTCATGGTAAAAAGCAACTGAAGACACATTCCATGGAAGAAGCCAAAAACAAAACATTGAAAATTTAAAACAACTGCTTACAAGAATAGAGTCCATAAGAAAATTGCAAAAAGTATTTCATTTTTTATCAAGGGCAATATTATTCAAGCACTTCAAAACCTTACCACTTTCCCTTATTATTACTACTAATTTAAACTTGGATAGTAAATTGGTGGATTTAGGTAATAATAGCTATTATTATGTGCAATGGTTATACAGTTATTGCTATAGCAACGTCAGACAATCTAACCACAACTCATGAAAGTTACATACCACCTACAGTAGTGGTACTTTAGCCTTCAATGAGACACAGAATCAGTATTAGTGTCACTCAAGATCTTCATAGAAACAGCAATTTAGTCTTACTCCATACCAGTGTCAACAGGTAAGTGACCCCTTTTGCCATCGATTTACCATCTGTGAACTTTTGGTGTGTACATATTCAAGAGCTCTTTTAAGTCCCCTTTTAGTGAGCATTAGCATAATTTTCAACTGCTCATGGAATTTCTTGTTTGAGTTTTGGCAATTTTGCTTCCTCTAAAATTAATTGTACACAGTAAGTATAATAATAAAATGCCCATTACCATATAGAAGCAAATTTATCTTATATAGGTAGGAAAAGTAGGTTCTTGGATAAAGTAATAATGGGATAGTGTGTCATCTTGGAATGCCCTGCCCTAGCAGAGCACCCGGTGCTTAGCTGTCTGGAGTCCATGTCTCATCCTCACCCCCACACTTTGCCCCACTCTTGCTAATCCATCTTCCACAGCAGCACCCCACAGGGACTGCTCTTATCAAAATTATCAATGACTGTAATGATCATCTTTATGTTCTCATTTATTTGATTTTGTAGCAACATTTAATATAGGTAGGATATTTCTCTTCTGCTTTCATCTCCCTTCTCTCTCTCCCTCTCCCACTCTCCATTCACTCTCCTCATTTCACCAGCAGCTTCTTCTAAGTCTGTTTGGCCAACCCCATCCTCCTCTGTTCAACTTCTAAGTGTTGTACCACACCAAACCTACACTGTGATCTACTTTTCCATCTACACATTCTTCCTGCTAGGCAATCTCATCAAGACCACAGTTTGAATATCACCAATGTGTCAATGACTCCTAATGTCTTCAGCCCCAACCTTGTCATAGATTGCAAAACATGTATACCTACTTAATTGCCTAACTTGACATCTCACCTTGGATGTCTAACAGGCATCTCAACCTTAACATGGTCAAAATGGAACTCTGGCTCCCCTAAACTGGTCATCCCACTTTTCCCATGCCAGGAAATGGCACTTCTACTCAATCTCAAAATGTGAGAATTACTCTTATTTCCTTCCTTTCCTCACTCCCTGTATCAGTTCCATTGTTAAATCTTGTCAATTCAATCTCCTTTTTAAATATATCCCAAATTTATTCATTTATTTCCGTGTCCACTACCAATGTGGTCTAATCACTATTATCTGCTGGATGGGCTATAGCAATAGTTTACATATTAGTTTCCCTCTTCTTCCACTCTTGCTATCCTATAATCATCCTCCACACAACAGCCAAATGTTATTAACAGATTATACAGATTATTTTAAAAATATTTAACTCATTCCACAGCTTAGAAACTCTCCAATATCATTCCATCCCATAAAGAATCCAAGTTTCTTACCACGGCTTGCAGAGATGTGATCTGGCACTTAACTCCTCCTTGGACCACATTTCATATCCCTTTCCCCTTGCACATTAAACTCTAGCTCCATGGACCCTCATTCTATTCCCCAGAAGGAAACTCATTCCTGCCTTATGGCTTTGTCCTTCTTGGACTCTGCCTGGAATGTTCTTTCCCCCTTTTTCACATGTTGGCTACTCCTTGTCCATCAGATCTCAGGAAACCCTCCTAATTCCAACTCCAATAGCCACTCACTCATTCATATTGCCCTGTTTTGATTCTGTGCCTAGCACTAATTGCTAGATGATATTTTGGGGGTTTTTGTCAATTTAATGTTGATCGAGTTTCCACCAAAGTATAAGCTCCAAGAAAGCAGGTAGCTTGCTCATATTGTTCACTGTTCCATCCCCAGGACTTAACAGTGCTTAGCACATAGAGGGTGTTCAGAAGGCATTTGTTGGAAAAATGAAGGGTGTGCACTCAAAAATATTTGCTACATTAAACTGGAATGTAAGAAGCCAACAACTTAAAAGTTACTAGCCCTGTGCATCAATTTTTCATGTTCTTACAGAGTTTTTGTCCCAATCTGGCCACACTTGGCAGTATAGCATTTGAATGGGGAGAGGGTAGGGGCGCAAAGAGATTTGAAGAGAAAAAGACTGGAGTACAACCTACACAGGGATCAACAAACTCTGTTGTGTACTAGGCAGAATATGGCCCCCTAAAGACATCCACGTCCTAATCCTCAGAAGCTGTGAGTACATCATGTTACATGGAGAATGGGAGTTAAGGTTGCAGATGGAGTTAAGCTTGCTAATCAGCTGGCCCGGAGATAGGGAATAATCCTGGATTATTTGCGTGGACCCAGTGTAATCACAAGGGTCCTTGTAAGTGAAAGAGAGAGGTAGGAACATCAGAGTTGGAGTGATGCAGTATAAAAAAGACTTGAGCCGCCATTGCTGGCTTTGAAAATGGAATGGCCATACGCCAAAGAATGCAGGCAGCTCTAGAAACTGGAAAAGGCAAAGACAAATTCTTCCCTAGAGCTTCCAGAAGGAACATAGCCCTGCCAACACCTTGATTTTAGCTGCAATGAGGCCCATTTTGGAATTTGGAGCTCCAGACCTATAAGATAATAACTGTGTGTTGTTTTAAGCCACCAAGTTTGTGGTAACTTGTTACAATAGCAATAGGAAACTATTACAACATGTATCCAAAAATGATGGTCTAGAGAGAATATTGGGGCAGTAGCCACCACAAACCCCCTTTCTGACTCCTGCCGAAACCTGCTGGGTGAAGGCAAGCAGTTCAGACACCCTCTGCTCCTCCTGCTAATAAGGCTACGGTCAGAAAAACTTTCTTCGAGCCCTCTTCCTTTTGTTTTCCTTCCATAACTGTTATTACTTCTCTTTCTCACTCCTCTAAAATGAACAAAACACCACCACCATCCCCAGATACCCACACATCTGCCAGAAGAAAAGGGATTCAATTTTTTAAGTCTTACCCTGCCCTAAAACCTTTGTTATAAAAGCCATTTGCTAACAAAGTAAACAGCAAGGATAAATTTGATACACAGTACTGCTCTCATTCAATTACTACACGAAGGATCAAATTCAATGCTTGGATGCACACTACATCCAAATTCAGCTCTAATCTTTTCTCTTTGAATCGTGAATAGACATTTTAGTGTATATTACACAGTGAAGCAATAACAAACACTGTAGTAAAAATAAAAATGCTCCTCAATTATTTTTCACTTATCCCTTATGAATTTTACTGCCTAAAAAATGAAAGCAGAGCTGCTGAGGTAGGGAAGTCATATCATCACTGTGCTGTTCATAATAAATATGAATCTGTTTCCCCTACTGAAACATGAAATAAATCCTCGTGTGGTTTTAGCTTTTCTGCAACTAGAAAAGCTAAAATGAAAGCATTTCCTTGTTTCAACGCATCAGTATTCAGTTTAACAGTGTTACAATTCTTTAATGTTCTCAAACTTACCAAATAATAAGTGAATGATACATTCAAGTAATTGATGATAATCAGTATTTAAGCCAACATCCTTGTTTCTCACCAAAATTATTAAAAGTTATTCTCAAATAGTATTATAAAGCTTATCTTACTTATCATGTTCAGTGTTTAAAACTGATCGAGATTTTTCAGGAAAAATAAGAAAAAAAAATAACATCATAATGCCCAGTTCTGAATACTCTATGGAAATCTTAGGTATCTATTAACTGGACGCTGTATATGTAAGCAAGGAAGTGTAATGTGACTATAAACATTTACTACTGAGACTGCCTGATAAAAATTTTAAATCAAATTTAAAAGAAAAATGTTAATTTTAAAAAGTAGCTCATTAAAACCAGTAGATTACTGGAAAATGTGGGGAACAAAGAGTTTATGGCAATGAATATGTAAAATAATATGCCAAGAAGGAAAAAAAGTCTATTTATAAGGAAATACTCTTTATGTGTCACATCGGTCACCAGAGGCAGAAACAAAGTTAGAATTGCTAAGAAGGTGATAAAAAAATAATTTTCATTAGCTTAATGTTATTGTGAACTACATTCATATGTGAAATATATTGAGTTTTCATATAATTCTTCACAGATATAGATTGTTGTTCTCACGACATCTTACTGAAAATTAAAGAAACCATTTCCAGAAAGGTGACTCAGTAGAACAGTCTTTATGAAGTCTAACAAGCAGTGAGGGAGACACGAAGAGCAGATTCACATGCAATAACATTTCCTTATGAAAGGATATTAGCCAATTCTCCTCAGATCCTTGTTACAACTTATATAATATCCCTCCTCACACCAACCCTCTGAGTTAAAATATATCATCATAAGAATGATTGAAAAACTAATCAAATGATGGTTAATGTTCTGAGTGCATCTAATTTAGTAGTGATATAACCCATAGGTTTTCTAATCACTAATCTCCACATGTTTCATTATGTCCCATCAAGTCAAATGGAAACTCTTTACAGAAATAAGAACATGAGTCATTTTTTCTTTGGCAACTTATAATATTACATAAAAGATAATTTTACCCACATATTTAAACAGGCTGAGTTTTCTTAACTAGAGTTTGAAGTAGCTGGTTTTTTCTATTCCTCAACTCTGTTTTTTAAATAACTGTATTAAATATCACCTGTTATACAATTGATAAATAAATCTAACTATTAACTATTTGCATAGAATTGATTTTAACCACCAAAGTTATTTTAGCTAAACTTTAAATGTATAACAAAAGTGTAGACAGAAAACAAAAGTAGAATTATTATCATTGATTTCCCCAGATCACAGGTAATTTTGTTGTTATCCCTACATTTCCATGTTATTCTTTTTAGACACAGATGTTTTAGATTTTCATCAAAATCAAAAATATTCAGAGTACAAAGATTAAACCACATATTTACAATATGCATAATTCATGACCCAATTATTTTATAACTTATATAATTTTGACATGATTTCTAAAGCCTATATCAGATACATAGGTTTCAGAATAACAAAGTGCCTCTGAGCAGGTTTACCTAAACCAACAAGTATATATAGCTTTACTTGTTCATTTCTAATTTTGTACTCTTTTAAAAATTATATTGCAAATTAGTTTTAGTTCATCAGAATAATTGAAGTGTTCCTCTTTCCACCCCAGTGACTTGGAGTTACTTCCTTGGCCTAAAATTCACAATTCCTGTTCTTAATTCTGGCTGGTCCA